CAACGGGAAATATTTATGATAATTTGTCGGTCTGAGACGAACTAGCATTGCTGCATGCAAAATGGTGTGACTCCAAACAGAAGTGGGCAACCTCGTTTTCATGAGTAACGGTCTTGCTATCAATCGCATACGTTTAATTAAAGACTCTACAAGTCCATTTTGAGTGTGAACATGAGCTACAGGATGTTCCACTTTTATCTCAATTGATAAGCAATAATCATTAAATGCTTGGGATGAAAACTCAACAGCATTATCAAGTCTAGTAGACTTAATTGGATTATCGGGGAATTGCGCCCATAATCGAATTATTTGTGCCATTAATTTTGCAAACGCGAGGTTGCGAGATGACAATGGCACACATGAGACCATCTAGAAGATGCATCTATTAAGACCATAAAATATCTAAACGACCCACTAGGTGGGTGAATAGGTCCACAAATGTCCCCTTGTATACGTTCCAAAAATACAGGGGACTCAATCCCAAACTTTGTTGGTGATGGTCTAATAATTAACTTGCCCTGATAACAAGAAGTGCAAGAAACTTCATTATTTAATAGAATCTTTAAATTCTTTAATGGATGCCCATTTGAGTTTTCTATAATCCGTCTCATCATAATTGATTCAGGGTGTCCCAAACGATCATGCCAAAATACAAAAGTATTGGAATCATTAACCTTTTGATTTACAATAGAATGTGCCTCAATTGCACTAATTCTTGTCCAATACAGGCCACAAGATAAAGATGAGAATTTCTCAATAACCCTTTTGTGGCCAGAGACATTTTTGGTAATGATGAGATATTCCAGATTATTCTCATCTGTTGTCTCAATATGATATCCATTTAGACGGATATCTTTAAAACTCAACAAGTTCCTCTTGGACTTGGAGGAGAACATTGCATTCTCTATGATAAGTATTGTAGCCCTTAGCAGAGTTATAGTAGCTCTTCTAGAGCCTTCAATTAATTTACGACTACCAGAAATTGTAGTAACATCTGCCTTAAACATACTTAAATGAGAGAAATATTTCTTCTCTTTGAATATTGTATGTGTCGTACATGAATCAACAACAAATATTTTTACAATAGAACTTTGATTCAAGTTTGCTTTGTGGAATATCCATATTTGCTCTTACATCTGTAAGTTCCGGTTTTCGCTCCTTTTTCTTATTTGTTCCTCCATTCCGGTCATCAAACCCCCCCTACCCCCCCTCCCCCCCCAAAAAAAAAAAAAAAACATGACCACTTAAGCCGATCGATCGATAAAAAAAGTAAGCAATACGAACATTTAGAAGACTTACTTTAACAAAGTAGAGTAAATCGTAATTGTTATCATATCGTATCCTTTAACTTATTTTATTAGATATTGAAAACTTAAACATGTTACTTATTAACCAAATTTATACATAAAATGTTACAATTTCTATTGTTCAACTCCAGTAACTGAATTTTTCTTTTTTTTACACCACAATTACTTTAACAAATAATATACTAATCCTTGAAGACCAAATAAATTGAAACATCGCTTGCAACGAATACTAGAACTACATTTATTAAAAACGAACTAACACTATTCCATAAAATAAATAAAACTAATTGATACTAATGACTACTACTCATGTAAAGAAATGTGATTACATGATGTTTATTAGCTACTACAAATATGCAAAAATAAAAATCAAACTACTCAATCATCTTTAACCACAGATCCATCACCCATCAAGTGGTCTATTTTTTCATCAGGGTGCTCAAAGAAGTCTGCCACATCCAAGTGGGTGATGTCAAATTCATTGTCATAAACAAGATTAGCTTCAGGGCTTTTATTCTTTAGAGATGCTTGATAAAGCTCAACCAAATGTCTTGGTGTATGATAAATATTTGCCCAATGCCCTTTTCCACCGCAGCGATAACATTCAGTTTCTGAACCATTTGCCTTTGGCTTCTCATTTTCCCCTTTCCGCTTTTGGTGGTTATTTTTCTTTGGTGGGTGATTAACACCAAGAGAATTTCTTCCTTGTCTACGGCCATGGCCACGACCACGACCACGAATAGAGCCACGGCCTTTTCCATGCTTAGCATAATGAGAATACACCTCATTCACTTCAGGCAATGGTGTAGACCCAGTGGGTCGATTTTCGTGATTTCTCATGAGCAAATCGTTGTTTCATTTAGCCACAAGGAGAAGAGAAATCAACTCAGAGTACTTCTTGAAACCTTTCTCTCTGTACTGCTGTTGCAGGACCATATTGGAGGCATGAAACGTTGTAAACATTTTTTCAAGCATATCATAGTCAGTGATAGTATCTCCACAGAGTTTCAATTTAGAAGTAATTCTGAACATCGCAGAATTATATTCAGAAACAGACTTAAAGTCTTGGAGCCTCAGATGAGCCCAATCATATCGTGCTTGTGGAAGGGTGACCAACTTTAAGTTGTCATATTTTTCATGTAAGCCATTCCACAAAACAAGTGGATCTTTGACTGTGAGATATTCTATTTTCAAGCCTTCATCAAGGTGATGGCGCAAGAAAATCAAGGCCTTAGCATAGTCTTGGGTGGATGCTTTATTTTGTCTTTAATGGCGTCTCCAAGACCCATTGCATCTAAATGGATTTTAGCATCCAACACCCATGTCATATAGTTCTCGCCGAAATTTCAAGGGCAACGAACTTTCTATTCATAATATCAGTCATAATTAAAAGAGGAGAAAAGTTATACCTTAGTCTTCTCAAAGAGCTTCTTGAGGCGGTAGAGTCTCGTGCTGATAACGTGAAATAAAATAATGAAGAAGAATATTGCAAAGAAAGAGAGAGAATTCTTATTGCTTTTGGGAAGATATACAATAGAAGAGGACCCCTCTATTTATAGGGAAAGAGTGACTTAGCCACCAAGTAAAATCCCTAAGATCTCTCTAAAATATAAACATTTACCTTAAATAAAATTCTATTTATAACAAAAAGTTAAAATTCCTAACTAATGAATTTTGACTTAAAAGTCACTTCAAAGTTCAAACAAACCCATCCAAACGGGCTCTTAGAATAGAAGTTTTGTCCGACCAAAATAGTTTTGTCAACTTTGCTTTAACTTTTGTGGTTCCATAAATGAACATCTTAGGATAGTTGTTTGACAGCATCCTGCTATTATAATTGTTGAATCTGCTTAAAATTTAAAAGTACTTTATCCCCACCTTTTTTTTTAAAACAAAACAATTTATCAATCTCTCTCTCCTAGCAGATCTTACACAACTCCAACCCCATTGATATTGGACATTATGACACCATTTTCCATTTTAAATTGAACATGATTGTTTGGCTTTGTTAAAAATTAAAAGGAAAGTTAAAAGAAGGAATATGTCAAATACACATATTTTTTGAGTTTCGAAATAAAGAAGAGGATATAAACTACTATAGTACAAGGAAAAGGTAAAAACAAGGAGAATCTACGTGGTCTACCCATTAAAAACACCACTTAGCTCTATATACTTTTAAAATATTTATTTTACATTCTATACCTATTTTATAAAACTTTATTTACTTCTTAAATCTTTAATATCATTATATGCCTTTAATATATCCCACCTTTTAAGGGATTAGATAGTCTCCCCAGATTCTTTTAGAATATCTTCAATTAACATTTAATTGGGATAAAACACCATATCTTTCTCAATACACCGTATCATGAATTCTTGCACTGATTTATTCTCTTCCTTAATCACATAATCAATTCTTCACAAGAAATTAGCGGATTGTGGAGGAAAAGATGAAGAGGAAATTGGCTTGCTTGCTCTAGCGATTAGAATATTGTGGTTTTTATTTATGACTGAATAATGTATTCTTCTTTGGAATATTATGGGATTTTCTTTACTTTTGTTTGAATACAATATATTGCTTAGAATATTAATTGACTAATGGCAGTATTAATTGAATACTGCGCTAAAATATATAAATATTGTATTACAAATTAGAATATTGTGGTTTTTACTTAGAGTTGAATGGTGTATTCTAAATTGGAGTATTGTGGTACAGTTTAAATATTTTATTTCAAATTAGAATAGTATGGTGTTTATTTATGGTTGAATACTGTATTCTTCGTTAGTTAGAATTATGATTTTTCTTTAATTTTGATTTGAATACAGTAGTATTGATTAGAATATTAAATTTTGTGAATATTGTATTCCAAATTAGAATATCATAGTATGTAATTATAGTTGAATGTTATATTCCAAATTAGAATATTATGATATGTTTTGTTGATTATTGTATTTCAAATTTTAAAAAAAGTCACATAATAGAAAAAATCGATTTGCAACCAAAATCGATAATAACCCCGTTAATAGAAAAATTCACATAATTATCGCTTTTTCATACTCCACCATATTGAATCATGATCGGTATATCTTTCATTGCAATTGATGAAGTTTTTGGATTATATAAAACTTGTTAGATAAAAAATAAAGGACTTCTAGTGGAGAAGAGGAATAGAATGTTAAGAGTAAAGAGGTAAATTTCAATATTACCAATATTATATATTTAACTATGCACGTTTCAATAGTTATGCCTAAATTTAAGGAATTTTATCCCCTTAAAAGTAGTGGGTAAGATTCTGTATTTTGGTAAGACAGGTATACACAATAATTATAATTTTACTATGTAATTTCAGTAGTTAGGTATATAGGGTAAACAGTTTCTGTAGACGGGTATATATCAGCTAAAACGAAACCAACGTGGCGGCGGAACCTAAAAGGGCCTTTTGAGGGGCTTCAGCACGAGTGGGTTTGGGCCTCTATGGCAACCCGAGAAAATAATGGTCCTAAAGAGGGGTAAAATGGGAAACTAGGAATCTAACATTGGCGGGAAAGAGAGCCGTTGCTCTTCTAGACACCAAAAAACTGGCGCCAAAACTCTAAATTTCCAGCTGCCCACTGCCCGAAATTCGACGGGCAGCCCACTCTTTTTATTTTCTGTCCCCCCTCCTCAAAATAAAAAAAATTCTCAGAATATTAATACCAAAGATTCTTTACGAATCTCTCACTCTCATATTTTCTCTAATTCCTTCAAATTCTTCTCTCTCTCCAAAAAAATTTCCTCTAACTTTCCCCTCCTTCATTTTAGCGCCATTTCCCCCCTTTTCTTTCATTCAAAGTCTTTTCATTTCCACCCCTTTTTCTCTCCTCTTGACTGCACAAATTCTTAGAATCTTAAAAACAAGAAAGACCCTTTTGGTTCATTCTTCTTGTTCTCTTAATTCCTCCTTCCTTTCAGCCAAAAATCCATATTTTTGGTTCCTTTGATATGTTCCATATAACAGAGTCTTTGTTTCCAAGGATTTGAAGAGTTATCTTTGTTCCCACAAATTTTCTTAAAATTATTTACAAAGTTAGCGTCTTTTTAGTTATTTTGGTGTTTGTTAAAACATGGGATTTTCAAAGAAGCACCAAGTGGAAGGAAGTAAAGAAGAGAGCAAAAAGTGGGTAATTGCTGGAATTACAATTGTAGCACCTTTGAGGTCAATTTCTACGAAGCCAAGAGAGGATTCTGAAGATGAAGAAGAGTGTTCAACAACTCCGACGGCGAGAGATTCAAGGATACCGGAAAGACTACCATGCCCTCCGGCGCCGATGAAACGCCGGCCAAAGTCCACGTGTCATTATAATAGTGTTAGGGAGTTCTTTAATCCGCCTGACCTTGAATCTGTATTTATACGCCATGTGGAGAGAGCTAATTAAGACAATAAGTGGAGTATTAGTAAAGGGCCAAAACCAAAATGGAACAAAAGAGTGGCCCTTTTGCTTATTTTTTTGCTTTTTTTTTTTGAGTTTGTGGTAGGTTTTATTAGGTTAGGAGTTAGGTTTGAGNTGCATTGTTGAGATTCAATTTTGGACATAAAAGTGATTATAACTTCAGATCATGGAAAATATTCCAATTCTGCTGCAACATAGTGGAGAATGGGATGATAACAATAATTTCATAAATTTTCATGTTGATGCAATTCTAATAAAGACCTATTGGAAATTTGAACAACTTCTCAGAGAAATTGCAAAGCAACTGCAAAAGGACAGTAAAACAATAGTTATTCAGTATGCTATTGCTCAAGGATATCCATCAATTACAATTTGCAGCGATATGAGTGTTAGTGTTTACATGGAATTGAAAAAATCAAGTGCAGGGATGACAACATTTCCCCTGTGTGTGTCGTTTGCTAAAAACACTATAGCTGCAAGCACCTCCAGTTTCGATGTTGCTCCAATTTCATCAGAAATTGCAGAATTTGGAAACACTGATATGATTACTACGTTTGATGTGCAAGAAGGAGATGACGCCATTTTAGAACTTGATGATGCAAACATCATAACTGATCAATTTCATCAAAATGTTAAAAAGGACAAATTTACAAAGACAAGAACCTGCTGGCTCTCGTTATGAAACAGTATGCCGTAAGGGAAAAATGCCAATTTCGGGTTCATAAATCATGCCCAAGAAGGTTCGTCTGCATGTTTTCAAGTAAAAAACTATGTGATACCTATATAGTATATAAAGTATGCTAAGTATCAGTATACTGCTATAGTATATAAGTATAATATATCAGTATACTATGCGAGTATATAACTGTATTGGTTTGTCTTTTTTATTATCAGTAAAACATAATACCAATATAGTATATATGAATGCTAAATCAGTATACTATGTGAGTATAGAATCATTTTAGTTATCAGAAACGTACATTGAAAGAAGAATGGCACAACATGGATGTGGAGTGCTTAAACAAAAGTATCATCTTTAAATGGTTAGATGTTTTTTCTTTTGTCTGGGATGAGTGGAACTTACATGTTTCACTTTTACATTTAAGTTACTGACATATGTTCTGCTAAAGATAGAGAAGGGTCTTTCTAGCCTGGAGCAGTTAAAACCGAATCAAGAGCTTGGTGACTGAGGAGTTGAAACCGAATCGAAAGATACACAGGGAATAAAGATAAAAATAAGCACAAGTGCAAGTACGACCAACACTTACTTCTTTAATTTATTTATAACTGAGACCACGATGCAAACAAGGGTAGCTTAAATGGAAATAATTTTATAATACTAGGCTTAACTAGAAAAATATAGTACATTGTCATTAAGTTATTTGTTGGAACCTGGTCCCCCAAAAAAGACCGTATGCACAAAAGCATTATTGGTAATTGGTTCATCATCAACCCGGTAAAGTGCGTGGGCATCTTCAAACTCTGATACTAGAGCCCCAGGATCCTCACTTTTTCCATCAATCAGAATTGAAATTTTGTATGGATATAAGTATACCAACAAAGTATATAAGTATACCAACAGAGTATACCATGTGAGTATATAATTGTATGGATTTTTGTGTGTTTTTTTATCAATAATACATGATACATAACTGTATTTGTATTATAAACAGGTATATCCTTGAATGCGTGAATAAAAGATGCACTTGGAGACTTAAAGCATCAAGCCTGCGAGCATCAAATCTTTTCAAAGTGACGGATTTCAATTCTGTTCACAGTTGTTTAACTGATAAGAGATTTTGTTCACAAAAGCAAGCTGTCTCAGCTTTTGTTGCAGCTGTGGTACAAGATAAACTTGTTGACCCGAAAACCATATATACACTAACAGATATCCAAAGAGACATCCAAAAAGCATATGGTATGGACTTGAGCTACATGCAAGCATGGAGATCAAAAGAAAAAGCAATGCAATTATTGAAACGATCACCAAGTGAGTCATATAAGAAAATGCCAATATATCTTTATATGTTAGAGTACGCTAACCCAGGATCAGTGACACGACTACACACTGAAGGAGATAGGAGCTTCTTGTATGCATTCATAGCTATATATGCATCGATTAGAGGATGGATCTATTGTAGGCCAACAGTTGTAGTTGATGGAAGTTTTTAAAGTCAACATATAGAGGGACCATACTCACGGCTTCCACGCAAGACGCACAGGGTAAGAATACAATCCAATCACATTCAGTTAAGAAACAAAAAAGATTTTCAAATATTATATGATACCAGTATGGTATACAAGTATACCAACAGAGTATATAATTATTTTGATACATACCTACACCTACCTTTGACTACTATATGAAATACTAAATTAATATTGTGTGTACAATCCAATTATTTTCTGTTAAAGAAACAAAAAAGATTTTCAAATTTATATGATACCAGTATGGTATACAAGTATAACAACAGAGTATATAGTTATTTTGCTACACACCTGCACCTACCTATGACTATACTACTATATGAAATGCTAAATTAATATAGTGCATTGTAATTGATATTTTGTTCTTTGGGTTTACAGGACAAATTCTACCCCTCGAGTATGCAATTGTTGATTCGGAAAATGATGCATCGTGGGAGTGGTTCTTCGTGCAGTTCAGAGAAACCTATGGACAAAGAGAGGGAATGTGCATTGTATCAGACATGCATGATGGTATATGGAGAGAAACTTCAATTGTCTATCCAGAAGTCCCTCATTGTGCATGTATGTTCCATCTGTGGAACAACATAAAGACAAACTACAGGAAGAGCCAAAAACAAATCAAAGAAGTATACTTTGCGTTAGCAAGAGCATACATTGTTGAAGAATTCAACAGACATATGACAGAGTTAGAAGCTATTGATAGTAGAGTGAAAACATACCTGATGGATATTGGATATGATAAATGGTCTCGGGCGCATTCCAAGGCAAATAGAACCATGACCATGACATTGAATATTGCGGAATCAGTAAATGCAGCAAACAAGCACGCAAGAGACCTCCCAGTTGTGAATTTGCTTGACTTTATGACAACATTGATTCAAAAATAGAATTACACCAATCGGAAGGATGCAGTGGAATTATTTATGAAGATTGGTGCAAAGTATGAAAAAATATTGGCAGATAATACTATCTTATCACAGACGATGACGGTATGCATTTTCAAAATCATAAAAACACTGCATGTACTGTAGTTTTACTTTTTTACCTTAGTGATTTCACTAAACAACTCAATATTGTTATTTAAAAAATACTATTACTTAATATAGCTAATGACTTTTCTTAATTAATATTATACTTGGTGTTGCCATCAACTGAATTCTTACATTTAGTAATTGATGGCCAAACAAGAAATGTGGTACGCCTACATGAAAAAAAACTGCACTTGTGGGAGGCTTCAGCTAGACGATATTCCATGTCCACATGCAATGGCAGTTATACAAAAATTCCATATGGATTCATACAAGTATTGCTCAGATTACTACATCATAGACTACTTACTGAAAACATATGAGATACCAGTAAATTCTTTGCCTAATGAAACAACGTGGCAAATTCCAGAACATGTCTCTTCGCAGGTGGTACTGTCACCAAAAGGAAAAATCAAACCAGGAAGACCTAAAAAAGAAGAGAGGCATAGGAGGCTGGGAAGGAAATACAGTTACATGTGCACTATGCGGGAGAAAAGGACACAACCGGAGAACATGCCGAAATATTTCAAAGAGAGATTGATATAATGCCTCAATGTTTTTATAGAACTCATATATCGTAGAATCATAGCATTTGAATTGCAAATAAATAAAATGCATTTCTTGCACTAGACATATATTTGGTATGATGATTCTTTGCAAATTACTTTTTGGCAACAAATTTATATGGCTACTTGTATTTTCAATAAGAATCTGTTTATTTTCTATTTTAGTATATAAAAGTGGGATGCATTTACATCTAGTTGCTACAGGAAAAAAGATGCTAAAATATAAATGTGATACCTAGTTGGTATATCTGTATACCTTATTGGTATATCTGTATATCTTATTGGTATCAAAATATGTGCAGAAATAGAAGTGGTGCCGCAAATGCAACATTTATACATACATCGTTAACAAAATGGGCACGCTTTGCAGCTCATGTCTATATTGAAGTAAAACAAATTGGAAGCCATTTACATGCAGTTATTGTACATCATCAGGTACATAAATACAAGGTGATACCCACATGGTATATTTGTATACCTTACTGGTATATAGTTGTACTGCACTAATATGGCTAAACCAAAATATGCGCAAAAATACAAATGGTGCACCAAATACAACGTGATACCCAAAATGCGCATGCTTCGCAACTCATGTCAGTACTTACATCTAGTTGGTGCAGGAAAAAAGGTACTCAAATGCAACATGATACACAAATGGTATATCAGTATACCTGATTGGTATATAGTTCTACTACACTAATATACTTGAAACAAAATCTTTGCAGAATACAACTGGTGCAGCAATGCAAATTATGCACGGATTTTCATAGATTCAACTACAACTAACAACTACTCTCAATATAATTTCAAAACCACTTCACTTTCTAAAAATATTTCTTCTCATTCAAATAAATATTCGCCCCTGTTATTCAACAAAATAACAACATAGCTCCTCTTTTTGAACATCGTAACTCCCTTAAATACACTTCCAAAAACAACTTCTGCTGGTGTATTACAGCGAACTAACAATGCTCCTACTACAAATGGCAGTAGTAGTAGCAGCTAACAGTGTTGCTATAACAACCATGTTCTACAAATGGCTTGACTTCAAGTGCTGACAAAATTATGTCTCCAAAAGGCAGTCCTAATAAACCAACAACTTTATGGAAGAAGCCTAAGAAAAGCCTAATAAAACAAACTGAAGATACATTCCAACATTAAACAGTTATAGCAACATATTGTACTATTACAATTGTATTCCTAGAAAACACTTTTAAAAGCTAGAATTTTTACAATCTAATAATGCAAAATACCATCTTCACCAAAAACTATTAAAATCCTGCAAAGTTTTCATGATACGATTAAC